GACAGCTTCCCCTTCAGCTCCTCCACCAGCCACCGCTGGTGAAAAGGCTTCGTTCCCACCGCCGCCGTTGTCCTCGACATAACTGGAGCGCATTGGCAATCCGTTGTGAAACCATTCAAAATCCGGAGCTGGTACACCTCCCTTGGCCTGACAAATCAACCGCAGCTTGTCATCAGGGCTGGAGAGATCGTTTGTACCACTTTCGACCGAAAACCCTGGCCGTGATATCACCAACTGGCCATTTTTCGTTGGCTGCGGCTCACCAGGAGGTGCCATTATGATGGGCTTTGAGGGTACCACTGAAAGCAACAGTGTTGACAAAATACTTGTTTTACTGCGGCTTCATTGGAAACCACCTGTATAATAAGATGACCTTATTTTATCTGGATGTAAGTGAAGGAGAATGGTGTTATAATCACTGAAGTCGTCAACAATGAATGCGCTTAACAGCTAGCAAACCTTATTATACACCGGTCCCACCAACTTGATCCATTTTTAGCCATAAAATCGGCATCTCAGATTAAAGGTCTTTCGCACTCTTCACTAACTTATCAGTATGACCTTGCATCTGCTGTTACACCATGAAAGTTTGGATTACCTTTAATTGCGAAACAAGACGTTTGCCAGGCGTAGACTCTCTTGCAAAGAGTGTGGATGATAAAACCAAAATTTTGATTTACCAAAAAGGACAAAATAAAAGGGCATACAAGCATTATAGTTTGAACAACATTTAACAACAAGCAGGTTTGTTGAAAGCGCAGCTATGCTAGAAATGTTGCCCTCGCATTCCCATTGTGTCGAACTTTTGCATACAAACTACTGGATAAGTATTGGGAAACATGAACGCCTTTCGCATTGTCCATCCTGTTAAAATGCGATAGGAGGATCAAGTAGCCCAGGGGTTTGTAACGTAAGTCAGTTAACCCGCATACATTAAGGTTTTATTGTAATTTCTGCAACCCATTCGGTGCAATACCCTATATATCAGATTTTGTGTACATGGAGGCCATAATTTTGGAGTAGTCATCCAAAATGATAGTCCGGCTAACGCGTTTTCCTCCATAATCCAACTATCGTGAACGTGACTTCATTTTTTATTTGATGCTTTATTTACTGTCAGGTGCGTACCCACCCTGCCGAATGAATATGACACTGACTTTTTCATAAGAAGCAACACTTGACAATAAAAACCCCATCCATAGGTTTCAGATACAAAACCTACGAATGTAGCCTGCAGGTGAAACTCTTGACGATAGGCTTTCGATTTGAAACCACCATCGATGGCCAATTTCCATACCACCAAAGCAACATATAATGGGCATGGCTGTGAAAATAGGAGTTAACCAAATCTAATAGTTGGCTTGTGTGCTATATAAGGTTGATAATTTGGGTTGCGGAGACGCCTTTATGGTGCTTTAATTGGAAAATAAAAATGAGTTAAACAAAGTAGTAAAATGCTCACCCAAAACAGAAAGGTTGGTACTTCTGCGCAACAAAGGCTGATTGGCTGTTGGTGAGACTTGACATTCGAAATTTCCGGCGTCTTCTCGAGAAACACTTGAAATGACCAAATCATGTTCACCTTTGTCCGGGTCGCCCTGCATGGAATACTTGGGCCAATTTCTCAGCTCTCGATCATAGCCTGAAGTGCAAAAGTAATTTGTCGTCACTCCCCATAAGGTGAACCAGAAACCGTGTACTATGAAAGGAAGTAATAAATGCGGTTTCACCTCAATTTCTTGAGGTCACATACCAAACCAAACTCCTAATGGAGTGTGGAATGCACTATCAACACTTGTCTTCTACAAGAGCGACTGTGACAGACGAACAGTAGGTAAGGAGTTAGGAGTTTAAGCGCCATATTTTTATTATTTGAGTCGAATTTTTAAAGGCTTAGACGTTCAGCAGAAGACTGAGTGACGGTGTAGCTCACTTCCATCAGAGATGAAAGTAGCTGATAACTAAATAGAAAATTAATTTTCTTAAAATATATGCGTAAATCGTGCTTTTTACTGGAGAAATCCCCATTTTTGATAATAGGTAAATCTCACCCTTTTAGCATTCTGCTTCTGGTCTGAATACCAAGGCATTTCAAACCTCACCCTGATTAGCTTAATCTTATCATAAGTTTGCGGTACAGTTGACTCAACCTTCATGCGCTCTTTTTTACGAAATAAGGCTCGGATTTTGCAACTACCATTCTACCAATCATACAAATGGGCTCACAACTATAAATATTAATTACTATTCTAAAATCCTATGTTAATTTTTGAATAACTTACTGTCACATGGTAATACTGACGGCTGCTACCACATTAAGTAATGTGTCCTCACACATCCCCAGAGTTTTGCATAAAGTTTTTTTAGTATACTATTTGACCCGTCAATATTCTTCATTTCTACTGATGTTAATATAGGACTATCTCTCAGCATCAATTACTCCCAAATAGCCCCACATTTTCGCTTTTTTCGTTTACTCAATCCTTAAAGGGTTTTTGAGGGAAATAATTTATGCCGTCTAAGGCGAAATACGCAGTCAACGATCCGGAAGAACTCTGTGGTGCCCAATTTAGAGAATAGGAATCATCATTTACGTGATAGACAGGGCACATAATGTTACATGATTTCCAAAACGGAATCTTAGCTCTACTTGATCCACAGCAGAAGCTCACAAGCTTCAGATAAGTGGTCTTATGGCAAAAACGTGGTTAAATGAATTAGACGCAGATAATGGGAAGAGCGAGAGCACACAATTATCCCATGGGGCTTTATTTATGTATTGGCAAATATTCAATTTTCCAACTTCGGTCTCCAATTTTTTGTTATTTTTGCGACGAGCACACCACTTTTAACATTATTTAAGAGCGATTTGCATTATTTTGCGTAGTTTGGCGCGTCTCGCTATAACACATTACGAATGAAGGTCGATCCAAAGACTTCTGCATTTGTGAAGCTCTTCACTGCAGCTCATGGCTTTACAAATACCACTTTTATCGTTCTACTTCTGGTTCTTTCTGGGTCCATTCGGATCAGTGCTTTTCCTTCTTCTTAAACGTATGAAAGTCGTATGTACGGCACATTGTATAAATCAGTCTTATTTTTTAAAGGAGCAGACTTTCACTATCTATCACAACAACGGACTAAGTCGAATTTTCGAAGAGTAGTTGCTTTGATCAATTTAACTAGAAAGCTATTAGCAATTGAAATGACGACATTGTGGTAATTTTTTGCTACTTTTTCTGCAAGAACTTCCAACCGACGCAGTGGTGAGAGTCCACCTTTTAAGGAGAATAAGTGTCACCTTTGTGGGTGCGGGGAGTTGGAGAATGTCAAGCTCGTAGTCCGATTCCCACGAAACGACTCAGATTTCTTGAGTTCTAGTTTCAATTCACTAAGTCATCTGAAGAAGCAGCCGCGCATAGGAGGTTTTCTGTTGTCAAGAGGGTTCAAATCTTGCGATTGAGATTTTAACCTCGCAGTAAAATGCCAGCAAAAGTCTGAGTTAGAACAACGTGGATAACATTTGTGGTTTTCAGTTATCCTAACGGGTTCAAGTATGGCAACCATTTATAATTTAGGCGGTAAAACTATGTTTGGGGGCACAATGTTTATTTACATGCTATGGGCACCTGAGTTTCAAAGCAAATTCTTGTATGCGATGGTCAAAGGACCGTTATGCGAAGCTCAAGTACTTAATTAGTTCTTGCCCTCCTTCCCCATTAGTGTGCCATGTGATACTGGATACTAAGGAGGGCATTCAGCTTAGCGCTTTGGGATGCATAACGGCAAGGATTAGCTTACTCTTCCAAAAAAAGGCACAAAACTCTAAATTTTCTTTTATATTTCCTCTGTAATAGTTGATCAAAAAATCAGGCATGCACTGGCTCAACGGTCAGCTCATCAAGTGCAAAACTGCTGGCTCTGTCAGCAACACACAGAAAAGTACTGTTGACGAGAAGCGTCACTGTCACAATAACTGTAAATCTTACTTTAAAAGTTTTAAACCCTAATTCGCATTATTTATAAATATAGCGTAGTTTTTTCAAAACTCTTTCTGGACATCACCCGACCACATCAGCTGCTCATTTGCCCTAATTCCGACTACCTCACTTCTCACTGATGGATGGCTTAGGTGCGATTGGTACTGCGCGCAGTTGGGACTGCGTATGATCACCAAAATTTATGTTTTACGTAAAAACTGGCCCTGACCTAATTATAAAGGATGCATGGAAAATGGGAGTGCACTACAACTTCAGATCAGTGCCCACTCCAAAACGTTGGAGTACTTAGTCGCAATATATACTTGGTTTTAAAAAGTAAAACTTTTAAGAAGGAGTCATTGAAATTGGGAAAGATTGAACATGAATACAAGTGAAAAAATGCAGGATTTAAGGCAACCTTCTAGGATTGTAGATTTCTTACAATGTAGCACCGTAATCATGCAACTCGGTGCTGATCCAGGAGAGTCAGCGAACTTTATTTTAATGAGTGTCTCAGTGTACTGGCCAACTTCTATTTCAAAAAGAAAATCGCGCATCACGAAGTACTTCAGAGTAGGAGTAGGGAGTAAAATCACATTTACTGAACTTAGCAGCTCATTTTAGGTAACATTTTATCATACACCCGTAAATCCCGCAGTAAAAGGTCTAATAGTGAGTATTTTCAATTTAGCACCATATTGGCTGTCTGCAAAAGCGTAGAAATCTACTATTCAGCTTGATGAGGATGACATTGGTCACTAATCACTTTGTCACCAATTTGGAGTTGAATTGATGGGACTCTCTTCATTTTGTCGAATACTACTTATCGTTTTAACACATTTATTTTTGCAGGCCATAAATTGATCCAAATACTTGAGTAAATTAATAAATACTCATCCTCCGGCAAACATCTGATTGGGCGTGATCTACAAAGTGCGTATTCTTACTAAAATTTAAAGCTTGCACGAGTTTCGATGCGATTATGCCCACGCGAAAACAGCAGCTTTAAAGAAAAACTCCTCAAAAATTAAAGCGAATTTTAAAGGCGCTTCTATGCGGATCACAAGACCCTACTGAGCCAGATCTAGTCTGATACAGCAAGCGTATATGGCACGTACCGAGGAGTGTATTGTGGGCACGCCACTGGGCTTTTCCACTCTGCCACGATACGCGACACCGCATTCGCACGGGTGACCCCTCCAGCACCTCATATCGATCGGCCGGCAATTCGGAGAAGCACTGGCGTTGGAACCGCTCATCAGCAGGGGAACAGACAGAAGACTGAAAGGACTCGAACGCCGCTATCACCTCCCCAGAGTTCGGTGCGAATAGTAGACTTCGCAGACTCTCTACATCGTCGATGTTTGAGTCGGAGGCCCCAGCATAGATACAGAGAGTTGAAAGAAGTATTGGTAAAAATGAGGAATGTGGTAATTTCAATATACACATATGGACAAAGTTGTTAAGGGAAAAAATTTGGTTAAAAGGAGAATCCACCAAGTATAGCTGCTGAAGTTTTATAAAGGGATGCTTCTAAGGATTTTCACATCACAACGACCCAACATAACAGTTTGTTGCGTGGAATGAGAACGAATTAGGAGTTAAGAGTGAAGTCTACTGGGGTGGGGATGATGTGGGACAGGACAGAACGGGACGAACGGAGTACGAATGCGTGCGTGCGTGCGCCACCGCAGGCAAACGCATCTGTCACGCGTGTATCAGATTGGTGAGAGAATGAGCAAGAGTAGTGCGTATGTGTTCTCAGGCCAAGCGAATGAGGTCATCAAAAGATAGGTCGGTTTATTACTTCTCAGGACAGAACAAACGCCACCGAGCTGCCCACCAGCCGAAAAATGCTCCTCCGCACTATTTTTAATGACGTTTTGACGTTCCAAATTACTGGGAGTAAAATTATTTTACAAGTTAACTGCAAACAAAACACCATCCCGTTTCAGATTACGCATTCGTAATGCTACCCTTAACATTGATGATCTTGGTCTAGATTGACTAAAAGTTTAATGGGATCGAAAAATGTCTTTGTCGAGTTATGGTACGCATTTACTAACGCGCTTAAAATTCAACTCGCTTCTCGCACAGAGGGACAGAGAAATGCACATGTATGACCATCGTTTAGAGTTTTAACTTCAAAAATAGATGCGGAGCTTTCTTGGTAGTCCTCACTTGATAGCGAGATGGCAACAATTCATAAGAAGCAAACCGATATATAAGATGAGTCAATTTAGGTCGACTAACTCCATTGCATCACTTCACTCAACACATAGCATGCTGCGTTTCCCAAGCACGTAATAATGTTAGAAGACTACGTAGTAAAATTACAAATTCTTTTAAAGGCGACTGCATTGTATCGAAAGTGCTAATAGCCACCCACTACTAAAAACAAAGTTTTGCATTTATTACGATGATGAGCGAGACCCACATAACTCCCTCTAGGCGTAAATGAATCCACGCCATTCCAAACATGCGTAATTCTTAATAACCATTTCAACAAAGTATTTCTTTCACATAAAGGAAACTACTGTCTGTTCCTCTTTAGACAGAGTTAAGTATTATATTTATGGAGTTTGGAACCGTTTCAACTCAACGATTTGTACATTGTAAGTAAATGGAAGCTTTAGGAATGCATGCGCATGAATATAACTAAATTTAAGTAAGTTGTTAAAACTGTAAACAGAATGCGTTTAATTTTAGCCCAAAAGTGCACATAAACGTAAAAAATGATGTGATTGTCAGCCACGCGACCTAGTGATTTATCCTCCTTGTATTCATTAACGTTTTTAGAATTTGGCTAGAAAAGTTGCGCTAACGCCTTAAATACGCACTAGAGTTTTATTGAACATGACCACACAGCCATCGATTAGTTTCCAGCCAATGAGACTCAAAGTAAAATATTGATTGACCCAACCGATTATTGAAGTCGCCAGAGGGTCATATTTGCTCAGCTGTGGCTGACGCAATGTGCTGCATAAAGTGGATACTGATTAGCGGTCCTTGGCGTCTGACTGTGTGGGCGGACGAATTCACTACAGTTTTTGTGGAGCCTTTCCACCCGAAACTAGCAGAAATCACAATTCGATGTATCCTTCCTTTCTTCCCCAAACCTCGTCCTACATGCGAGTTTTGTACCTACTTCTTTTTAATGTGGCCCCTTGAGTATTACCGCAAATTTACAGGTCGTGACAGATTGGCAGCAGTAAAACTCTTCAAAAACGCTCTCTGCTTCATCTGCGAGGTGACCGACATGTTCGACCCTGCGGACGCGGAGACACTCTTCAACGTGCCCGAGTGGAAACATTATATGCTCAAGGGCACTTGGCCTTGGGAAGAGAACGAGGAGGAGTCTGACGACGACGAGGATTATGAGTGATAGTTCTAAATCTTATTGGACAATCAATTTTTGATGATTTTTCTTTACGAAATGGTTAGTCTCCTGCTTTGGGTGAACGTTTATCGCATTCGTTGATTTTCATGACAGACACCAGTTTAACAAAAACAATGATTTGCTAAGTTTAAATAATAAATTGAAACGCAGCAGTTTTATGATCCTGGATTGGTAATTTCTTTTGCGCCATCACTATTGTCTCGGACACAGAATTTAATTCCTCAAGAAAGCAATAGTAAAATTGACCAACGATTTATGCGTGCGCGGAAGCGCCTTAAGAACGACTTGTTGTTGCAACTGCAATCTTTATTAAGCTTGTTCAAAACACTGTGCTCTTAAAATTATTAACAGCAGTACCCCATACCCTCGCCAGCTAAAATCGTTCACAGGTTTTTTAATGCTGCTGTGTTCCTAGACAAGTCATGCAGAGGTGGAAGCGTTGTCCATGCCTACTGACTTAGTAGCCAAATTGCGGTTGTGCACAAAATTGAGAAAACTCGGTACCGAAACGACGACACCATCACCAAAGTCAGAATCTTGAACGTATCATGCCCCCCACCTGAATGCAAGATTCTGTACGTAAGTGCACCGATTGCACCTGAAATCTTTGGTATAATTTAAGGGCCATAACGGGGTAGTCACAACCAAATGCTTATTGAAATCCCATTATAATGCATTGTTTTCTATGGCCCTCAGATGAAATAGGCATTAAATTCCAAATGAAAATAATTTTTAAATGCACTCTAACTGAGCGCACATTCTTCGAATGTCATTGACGTAGTACAACAAAAAGGCAATTTCTCATAAAACAGATGAGTATGAAAGAGAGCTTTGCAAAATAACCTGTGCTCAAGACGTTCCTCAGCTAGTCGGTATGCACTATGATTAAAAAGATGGGTGAGATTTATCGTAACCATTGATCAAATTTCGTCTGCTAGTATTGACGTTGTTTACTACTTGTCTATCCTTGGTTAAAAAGGCGATGTAATTAGGTATTGCCAACGGCAAAAAAAGCAAAGGCAACACCGAGCCATTCAATGCTTGTTGACCCGCTTCGGATTGTTATAATTAAGATTGCTAGAAGTGGCTATTATGGTGCTAAAGTTCTCCAAGTTAAGATGGGGTATCTTGTAAAGTTCACTATTCTTTTTAACTTGCAAGTTTTCAAAGTCTACAAGACGCATGCACTTATTTATTCGTGTGCAGCAATGAGACTTGAATGACGATTATTTTAGGGACAGCCCCACAAGGTGGGGCTAGCACAAGCTTGCTGGTTTGATCAGGCTTTACAAGGAACGCTATCTTCGAAATATTCAAAATAGCTTTCACCTAAACGTTGAGCCGATTGCAAGAAGCTCCTTAAAAGACCTTTTATGATACATTTCACCGGAAATCAAGTGAAAGATTCAAGAATTCACAGTGTCCCACGTGGACTTTTAGTGGATTCTTAAGGTACTGCAATAAGTGCTGTAGAGCTGCACGTGTGTGGTTTCTGGGCGAGCCTAATTCCAGACCTGGGAGGGAGGCCCTGTTACCGTGTCTTTGTTTACATTATGCGACAGTTCTGTGCTGCCATATGAACGGGGCTACGGAAGGCATAAACATAGGCGGGTTAAAAGGCCACGGAAAGGGCCAGAAACTGAGGCTATTCATTGCAAATAACTTAGGCTTCGGTATGCAAACCCTTACAGACAACCATCGATAGCATTCACAACAAAAATTATGGCGAAAATTAGTAATATTGTTGTAGATGAAGTCGGTGTTTAGTCAAAGATTGCTTTATTCTCTGTGTTGTCATTTGCACTACAGCGCATCTCCACTCTGCTCACTATTCAGCCCTTAGGCTGCCCTAACAGCAAAGCACTTATTGAGCAGCTTTTTCGGTACGTCCAATGATATAAGTAAAACACTGATTGTAGCCAAATGGCACTCGGCATTTTTGAAATTAGCTTTGCAGTAACCTTTATGAGCATGCATTTTATGAAACATGAAATCAAATCCACAAGCGCCAACCGTATGGATGTGAACTCATGTGATACTTTAAAATCACCGAATAAAACGAAGGCTTGCCTCATGCCTTAGCATAGTCGCCTAAGAAAGCACATAAGAGGAAAGGACTGGATCGGAAAAAACAATTTATTCGAATGCCCTAAATTTGTGAGACCTTTTCACATTTACCCACAATGCTAGAGAAAAGTTGCACTTTGGTGCCACTGTTACGTCTATCATGCATTATTTGATGCTATGCAATCGTTTTATTTTGGATTTCACACTCACTGCTCGGTTTGGCAAATAAGAACTACTATATTTGCAAATCTAACAAATACGGATCCATTTTAGTTACCCTCTTGCTCACACATAAAATAAAATCACCGGGCTGTCAACGCCCTAATCAAACAAAAACGAATGTTTTGCATTTTAAAAGTCCAAAGACAAACGCTTCTGAATGTGACATTTAAATTCCAACGTAAGAAAGGCAACCGGAAAATTTGAATGTCAGGATAGCTGGCTAGTTCATATAACTCACTACTTCGTAAATACGACTTAATATTTCTCTCAGACCTAGGGAAATAAATGAAAGAGCCACAGAGCCGACAAATGTCAACTTCCGATTTAGATATTCAAACGTTTTGACTTTGTACTCGTGGGGATTTTTTCACCAAAGGACATTTAAAGTATCAATTCGCTATAAGAACTTGAATATCCGGCTTAAAACAACCAACCAGTATGCTTCCGGAGTTAATAAATCACGAACAGCATAAATTATGTTCGTAAAAAAGAAACATGGTGCTATAAGCGGAAGTGAGTATGTTTCTCCTTGCGGGAACTTACGCAGCAGAAGAAAAACCAGAAGGCGGCGACTTAGTATCTCAAGGAAGAACACCATCAGAAATGAGTTAATCCAAGTACACATGCAAAACTGCAAAACAGTCTTCTTTGCTTTCCTCCACCTCCTTCGAATTGTGCCGACTTTCCAGTAAGTAGATGTGTGTCAGTCATGGCCCGGCGATCTTCTTGTCCCAAAGCTTGAATGGGAGCTGAAAAGCGGATTGGTTGGGTGCAACTTGCGCGCGCACGCAGGGCTGAAGATAACGAGTACGCATAAATGTGCGTGTGTGGGTCTCCAGGTGGGTTTTTGAATATCTTGCTAACTACACCGAATTCAAAACTCATTATTAGACTTTGTACTCTTCAAACACGCACTTAAATTTTGACAACCTAACCTTATCGATTTCGACAAATTTAATAGGCTTTACTGTGCTCCTAAGCCTTGCCAAAGTCCTCTGTTTGAGGTCTAGTGTTTAAACATAGCCTTTCTAAGTGGGCTGCTGTAAAAAATCTGGCAATCCTACCTGACAGCACATTGGGTTACTTGGTAAGCTATTTACATATGGCACCAAAATCAAGTTATTGTATGGGTAGAAGCCTAGTTGGTATAGCCCGATTGGAATTTATGGCATTTACCCACTGAGAGAATAGTTCCTCCGAAGGTTGGGGCAGAGCCATGGCGACAATATATTTGGACAACAAATGAGGTCCAAATGTCCTACCGACATATATTAGTAATCGACTGTAGCCAGATTATGGAAACCCGTCCCAAATAGCTCACACATTGCAGGTCCATGATCGGATACGATCAACTGACGTTGTAGTTTGGTCCAATAGCATTTGCCAAGGCTATAAATCCAATCGGATATATCTTTTGTTATATTAAGCAGGCTGCTACTTTAAAATCTGCCTGCTCATGGTATTGACACATAAGACATTACGCGGTTCTTCGTGTTACGATACACTTTGAGCACTTTATGATTCCATGTGCGTAAAAAATCCCTCTATTCTACGTTTGTTGCACATCTTCGAAGGTATAAACCGATCGAATCTCAGAAGTCATTGCGAGCATAAGGAAGAGTGGAGTAGGTTTAGCCTGCATTATCTTTACCTCCCCAAGGCAACAGCGTGCGAGCTGTGATGCGCTACGTCAAGCAATGGTGTAACTTTCAAAACATGTCCAGACAATCGTTAAAGGTACAATTAACACTGTTCGTTTCGCGAAAGTATTAAGAGGTAAGATGATTTTGTTTCATAATATTTTTTTATCACTGAGGCCACATTTTTTGGCTTGCATCACTGTTTCTCCTCCTTCCTTGCAAAATAAATTAATAAACTTAAATTCACGTCCTTAAAATCATCACTAAGCTTTTTAGTCCACTTGCCACTTATCAGGCTCTCCACAAAACTACGCCCGTCGTGTACATGCGTTATAAACCACAGTCTGTAAATGCTCGGTTTGATCCTTCTACGAACTTATAACGATTACGTTTCGGGAGCACTCTGCACAACCTATAGTTGCGCAGTGAAGGCACATTCGTATGCAGTTCCATTTCTTTCGAGATCGCCGTTTGTGATCGTCAGGTTAACCAGTACGATAGAGTAGGAAGGAACTGATCTGTTCTCCACCCCAAATTCTCTGTAGGCTATTGTCTCAGATCACGACAGTGTTTTTTTGTTCTAAGAAATCGACTTAGGATGGACATTAAGGTGGCTGCACAATGCATTTCTTAAGACTTTCAAGGGCAGTGGTGTTCAGTAAAAGCATATTCACAGCCAACATGTAGGCATTTTAAAAATGGCAGAAAAAATCGCCGAGAGGCCTGATTTAAGTGGTCGTTCTTATTTTAGGGAACTCAAAAATATCCATTCTTCTTTAAGATTCAATATAGCCAACTGCTAGAGGAGGAAACTCTTTTAAAACCTCAGTTAGACTGCAGAAATGGAACAATCAGTCTTCTGCACAGCCCATTCAAATTCTAAAGGGTGATTTTAGTCCATTTAATGAAACTACTAACTGAGATTTCATGATTGGGTTTATTAGGTCTCAAATCCCATGAGATCGGTCATGCTTTAGTTGGCTCTCCCAAACCTGATTTTCATCAGATAAAATGATAATCAGATTGCGATGCGAAGCGGCTGGCACAATATCCGTT